CCGTCGTGCACGCAGTTCCCAACACTTCTCGTCATCCTCTCTTTGGTCTCTTTATTCTGCTGAGCGGTGCTGTTAGGATTTCTTTTTTTCCCCTGACCACGTTCGCGATGGTGGGTAGCAGCAAGGTGGCCCTGGTAGGGGAGGGGTTGATATCGCGATTGGGCACCAGGGGAAGAATGTCTCCTTTCAACTTTGTCTGTGGTTTGCACCCCCGCAGAAGGCCACACGCCGGTTGTGGGGTGCAGATGTGCAGAGAGTGATTTCTAAGTAGTTGAGTTGTTGAGATGAGGGTACGACTGCTAATGGTAGGCAGGTTTTGTTTTCATTGGTGAATCTGGTGTCATCATATTCCGGTCATATGTTGAAATATTCTTTGTTTAGGTCTTGAAGTAGAGGATCTTACTCTGCACGTCCACATTGTGTTGTTTTAAATGATGTCTCTGCAAGTATGGCTTTTTAGAATTTCAAATGTGAGTTAAGGTCCGGGCGTGTGTGGGCCTTAGCACTGGCCTTGACAGTGAACTTTGTGGCTGTGTTTTGGATTTCAAAGATTTGCCCCATAGCTGGGATGCGAGCTGTGCATTTTGTTAGTAGTAGGTGTCAGGAATGTAGATGCTTAAGCTGGGGACGTTAGAGAAGGAAGAACATTTATGTATTAATAATTGATAGCTGAATATTAGAATCAGATTAATTTGGGCTGATGAAAGTTTTTTTTTTTTAAAGCAGTTATGCACTCTAGGAAGGAAGCCTTTTCATAGGCACACTTTATAGGGGTTCTTTAGGGCGCAGAGCTTGAAAATCTCCTTTTAGAGAGGATACTCATCAACATCTGTAGCTTCGTTGAGGGCCTGGTAAGGGGTCTGAAACTGGGGCTAAGATATCTAAGTATACTTTTCAGTGTTTCTGTTGTTTGTTTACATCTGGTGTTCATTCACGTTTGGGCAGTAGAAATAAATAGGTCAGCCTTACTTTTGGTTTTTGAAGACTGGTCCCCCCCTTTTTTTTTTAAGTTTCACAATTTACTTGGTTTCACAGCATTGTAGGAAACTGTTACTACATTTTTACTGGAAATACTGTTATTCATTTTGATTTTGGTAAGTTCCTTTCTATTCTTTTTTTCGGTCTCCATTTGTATATGGAATCTACATTGTGGGCTTAAAACTAGCTTATTGAGGGCCATTTAAAATGTCTAAAGAATGCATTTTAAAATCTCAGGACACATCTTTTGATGGCAAAGATGAAATTTTTGTGTGCAGTTATGCTCATGTTTATAAAAAATTTTCTGTACTTAAAACTTTGTAGATGTACAACTATCCTTAAACAAAGAGCATAGTAATAGTGCAGAAAATTCTCAAAACACAAACTTATGGCTAACATGTTCAGAATATTCCAGATGCTTTTTTTTAATGTCATACTTCTTTTTTTTTTTTTTTTAACCTAATAGTATTTGCAATACGACTGGCATTGCTTGGATGGCCTTAATAGTCTTTTGCTTGAGTGCTTCTGAAGATAGTTTTTAGATAATTTTGCAAACTTTATTTAAACATGTTACACTTTGGACTCATGCAGGTCTTTATGAAACTGAAATAGTAATAGTAATAGGCTCCTACCTGTGCCAAATTTTATTTTTAAGAAGTGTAAGTGATGGACAGGGCCCTATTTCTTTAGGTTTGAAGAGTCTGTCCTTTTTCTCATTCAATCATCTGGAAGGAGCTGCCTCAGAAATACTCTTCTTCTGCTTACATGAAGAACTCTAAATGTTACCCAGCAGGAGGTGCTACAGCAAGAAAGGAAATTTCTGAAATTTGAGGGTCTTGCTACTTATTACAGCTCCACTTAGCTTCAGCTAAGCAACAGGATTAACACTTTAAAGTACCAGAAAGATTTTTGAGTAAGTCCATTGAAAAATTACATTTTCCATTTGAAACTGAAATCTTTGACTGCTTTTTACCTGCTAACTGTATTACACAAAGCAGATTGCTTATTGTGGATAGCTTAAGGATACTGCCCTTAGGTACAGAGTGCTGTTAGAATTATTTTATTTTGAAGAGGAGTTAGTTTCTTTTTGATGAGTGGGATGTTGAACACTTTTTTAAAAAATTATGTGCAATGGCTAGAAACAAAAGTAGTTGGTATGACTTGGGCTTTAAGTTTTGTGGTCATTCCTATAATATTCATACGAGTAAGATACAGAGTATTTGAAATTTTGATTAGGGAAATATTGTATAGAAAAATTTTTAGACTTTTTGTGTTTTTTTCCCTCCAGTCTATGGACAGTGATCTTAGTAGATAAATTCTTATAAATTTATAAATACATTTGGTTGATGCATTTGAGTTGGCCTCTAAAGACTAAGATTCTTGAACTATAAGTAAAGTTATATCTGTGGGTATAAGTCATTGCTGATATGTCCATTAGTAACACTTAACAATAACTGAATAAAGATGAAAGTAGTTTCATAGCATTTACAGCACATGATCCTTTGAAACTCTGTGCTAAGTGAATTGATTTATCACTGGAAATACCATGCTACTGTGGTAGCTTAGAAAGTTTTAAAAACTTAGGAATGTGTAGAAAATTTGATGAACCTGCTTTGAATTTTGTTTGTTTTCTAGGAATAAGACTGTACTTTTTTCTCAGTAAGATCAAATGAGATAATACATGTGAAAGTTCTTTGTAAATTGTCAGAAGCCATGCAGATGTTAAATTGTTGAGATAGGTGGCTAATTAATACATGGGCAGAAGCTTCTGTCTTAAAAATGTTAACCTTCTCTATATCATTTGAGAAATGAGTGCATTAAAAGTGCACCAGGAACACTTTATGAGTGTTTTTTTTTAATTCTGCTGTGGTTACCAAAAAGCTCTTTGTTACAGTTTTGAAGCTTTGTTTAAAAAATGCTGCCTAGGCAGTTTCCCCTAATTCACAAAAAGATCATTTTTCCTTTTGTAGAAATGTGTATCACCTATTACGGTTTTTCTTCATTTCTCCATTGATGTGATGGTAGTTGATTTTACTGAATATTTAAGTTTCCAGATTCTTCTATTGACTCGTATTAACACACCGAGTAACAGATGTCACGGTTAATATTTTGATTGTTTTGACTGATTCTGCTTACTTCCTGAGAAATTCTTAATAACTTAAACCTTTCAAACTTGTTTCAAAGTGATAAAGATATATATATATATCAGTATGCATTAGTATTTGGTACGTGTGTATATAATTTTTGTTTCTTTAGAGGGATGTCTGAGAAAATGACTACTCAAATCTAGAGAAGTGCACTGAAATATTTTTGTATAAAAATAACCCAAAAGTTTAAAACTCAAAGTTTTGAGTTCTGGCTTTCTTAATAGACTCTGTTTACAAATTTGAACTAAGATAAAATAACATTGATAATTGGGATTCCCTATGTTTATGAGTATATCAAAAGGTACAGTATCTTAAATTTCAGAATTGACTGCTCTTTGTGAAATAGCCTCAATTAGAAATTAAATATAGAAACTTGCTTCTGTGAAGGGTGAGAAAAACATTTAACTCTTTAGATAAAAATGAAACCTCTCAGGGTAACATTAACTTTTTCATCCTACAGGCAGTGAATACTAAAGCTTTTTTTGAAGAAATACTAACATTAGGGTTATATTAATATGCTTTAAAATTTTGTATCCTTAGTATTTTATTGCCAAAGGCTTTTGTATTTAATTACTGTTGAAAAGGAAAAAAGGAAGGGATTAAAGTTTTAGGTCTCTAACCTTTGACAGAATTCTTTTATATCTATATACAGAGCTGATGTCTTGAAATATGTTTGAATCTTCATATTAATTTGTGCTGGGAAATATTAATGATTTATGTTGACTTCTCAGGAACTTTTTTTGGTAGGCCCTAAATATTCTTTGGGAGCATAGCAATGTATTTTGATCACTTTAACTTTACCAGGTGCTGCTTTACGTTTTTTTTTTTTTAAGAGGTAATAGTTAACACTATTAAATTTATTGTAGATAATTATTTCTTAAATAGCGTATGTTTCCTTCTTTGTATGTATATGTGGCCCATACTATTTTGTAGGCTTTCACATTTTTCTTATTTGTGTATTGTATTTCTGAACAGTTACTGTTTGTGAGAATGTTGAAGTAGACCTTTAAGAATAACTTTTATATTGCTTGTCTATCAGGTCAGTCTTAAACTGGAGGTGGTGGGGAACTCTTTTAAGAGATAATATGTGAGTTTAAGTCATCCTTTGGGCTTTTCTAAAGCAACTTTCTTAAACTAGACACTTGTTTGGCAGTTTGAATGCCCCTTCACTTCTCTCCCTCCAGTACACTGCAAAGTACACCGCCTCCCCCACCTCCGCTTAAATAAAAAATAGTGAGTTAGCAGGTCTTGGTTGAAGGAAAGTATTCTTTCCTATATTTCGGAATCATCTGTGGAAATATTTTTCTGCTTTTTAAAGTAGACAAAAAAGTGAACCGATAATGTGGAGATAGGAAGGGGATGGGCCTAACAGGTTGATGATCTAGGCTTTATTTTGACTCTGTTTGTGGGCCTAGGGGAGAAAAATAACTTAAACACAGAAGCCAAAAAGATGGGTTTTGTTTTATTGTTTTGGCTGCGTTGAGAATACAAACTGTCAGTACTTGAGGAGAAGGAGCAGCAGAAAGGAATTGATTTTTTTCTGCTGCAGATCCAAGTATTGTTAACCATGTGCATCTCTAAAGCAGCACACTTACAAATCAAACAGTAGTTGATTCTCTCACTCAATTAACAGTCAGAACTCTAAACTGTTTTTTTTATTTAAATAAGTACCAAAAACTTCAGAATAGTGACAATAATTTCCTGATAAAAGTGAGTGATAGTAACCATGGCAACTGCTATCTCAGGCCTATGGACAGTATGTTGTATTGATGATGCTTCAGATCCTGTAGTAGCCTGTCACTTTCATGGTGAAATGTAGTAGCATGTGTTGCAGGTGATTTTTAGCTGGATTGTGTTAAATTTGTGTGCCAGCTTATCTTTCCTTGTTAGGAATTTCTTGGACTGTATTCCACAGCATGTTTGTGAAGGTGCTGTTGCCTGAAAATAACCCACCACCTGTGTTAGGCCTCCTGATGCAGATTGCACTTAGTTCTTTCCCAGCCTCCTTCCTCAGTCTTTCAGAAAATAGGGGTGTGTGTAGAAACTATATACATAAATTACAGCTCAAAGTTATTCACTTTAACTTAAAAAAAACTTTTGTGTTTTTAGAAGGATGAGAAAAAAGGGTCTGTAGTTGGAATTTTTTTTCTAAGTGTTCTTTTCAGAAACTTGTGTGTGTGAAATGAGGGGTGAATGGAGGGCTTAAATATTGAGTTAAGGACTTGACAAAAGAGGAACTTCAGTATGATGGGTTTTTGTTTTTGTGTGTGTGTATGTGTATGAGATGGTGTTATATATGTATGTATTACTATAAGAATATATTTCCTAGTGGGCAATATTAGAGTATGGAAAATGTTTTCATATGAGAATTTTCTTCAAGAAAAATTATTTATTAAACATAACTTGAATGACTGTTAAGAGAAAGCACGATAAAACAAAACTTTTTTTGAAGAGGGGGATAGAAAGCTTTGAAACTGATCAAGCCAGACTCAAAAAAAATTGTTTTAAAAATTGTATCTTTAAATATAATTTAAAAGTTGTAATCGCATCTGTTTTGCTTTTTAAGTATTTCTTTTTTATGCTTATCCTGTTGTATGCTTATCCTGTATAAAGTTTTTCTAATGTGACAGTGTTGGTCTAAATATTAATTGATACTTTTTCCAGTATATGCTAAAGAATCTGTGCTGGAGCAAAGAACAATTATATGTGAATTTGACCAGGCCCTGATAATAAGCTCTAGTCAATTTGTGCTAGATAGTTCAGACTTTGTTGAAACTTACGTGATGGGGTGAAGTGGTTTACTTACTACAAGTCCCAAGATGCACTGCGGTTTTTTGCCTTGCTCCAGATTACAGCATTGCATGCTGGGACCTGTAGTTGCTTTAAACAGCACAGGGAACCCTTCCCTCTTGTCTACTCCATTTTATACACAGCTTCCCAAGCCTGTAAGAACTTTCTGCTAAGTAAAG